CTTAACAAATTGATATTTTTACTATCAGTAAAAATAGTTTATTTTTTATTTTTTAAGAAATTTTGTTTATTTTAGATTGAACTTAAATTTTTTGTTACATTGGATTTTGAATAGATTAATTGGTTAAAAATTGAAATTGTTAGTTTTATGGTTGGCAAAAATATAAATAAGTATATATATATTATATAATATAAATATATTTTTTGAGTTTTATAAGAACTTCGGGTTTATCATAAGTTATAAATCCAATTATGCAAGTAGATAAATATCATGTAAACTATAGTTTCTTTTTTTTTATTACCTTTTGAAAGTATTATGATTATAGAAATAAATGCACTTTCTATAGAAATAAAAATCAAGCACTACCTTTATTCATAAAAGGTATAATCACTCTATTCATTTTGAAATTATTTTAGGATTTTTTTATTCTAATCTAAATGGTTTTTTCACTCTTGTATGACATGTAAAACTATTGAATTCACATTTCTTTTTTAAATATACTTGATATTGATGACAAACTATAATTATCAGAATTATATAAAAGGTATATTTTTCCTTTAAAGGAACTGATAAGTCAAGTGATAGTAAGTTAGTTTGAAAGATCTGAAGATTTAAATAAGAAATATCAAATTTTTCGAAATAGATAATAGTATAAATTTAACTCAATTGGATACTTCTGGGCAACAAGTCACCTAGTAAATTTGTTAAAAATCGGATTTTAAGAAGTTTAGTGACATAAATGATATATGGACCATAGCGGCAACCTTTGTAATCTCTACAATTAAATTTGTATATTACTTTATCAAAGTCAATAAACATGGCTGAGCCTTCGTTCTAAAAAAAAAAAAAAAAAAAAAATTGTTTATTATATAAATAAAAAAGTAGACTATGTTAAGCATAATTGTTTATTTTGCGATTATTATCAATCAAAATTATTATATGCGTTATTTCAGCAAAAAAATTACCTGAAATACTAACTAATCTAAGTTTTCATTTAATAAAATCAATGCATTTTATATAAAAAAAAAAATAACGTTTAGGATGATTTTATATAATAAACCAAATTTTACATTTATCTGATTTACCATAACAAGAAAAAAAGTTTTTATCTCTAAAAAACATTCTAATATTGACCGGGATTGAGTCGTAAAGATTGAAAAACAAGTATCTTGTATCTTTCATTCACATTTTTGAAAATTTTCACATTCCAATTTGCTTACTAGTCACTCGGCTATAAATAAAACAATTGACCTTTCTGTCCGGAACTTATCTACATATGAAACATTTAACTAGTAAATTAAATATTATGTTCATGAAAAATCGGATAATAAATAAAATAAAATTAAAATTAACATGCATTCTAATATTACTTCTCATCAAAAAACGTTAAGCTTCTGATGAATTTATCAACGGCAGATTTAAAGTATTCATTATTAACGCCTTCACCTCCAGGATGCTCGGTGGGTGACAAAGGGTTTTTCATAACATATTCTACATAAAAGTTCGTATAGATCTGTCGCAAGACTGGTCTAAGAGTATCTACTGTAATGTCGGTATTTATAACAAATTTCAATCCCGATGGAGTTTCATAATAGTGAAGTCTATAATTAGATGTACGGTATGATAAGAAGCCATCTTGACTAGAAATAAAATCAATGGTTATAAGATATCTCGAGATTCGAGAATTCAATCATCGCCATAAATCCTAATATTAACATCCTACCTTCCACTTAATTTCTTGACAAAGTTTTTCAGAGATAATATAACACCATATACCAATTTGGCCTCCTCTTCTATGTTAATCAGCCGACTGTCCGAAAACATGCTTGTGGTGCTTGTTAACTGCGACGTTGTGGAGTGATGGCTTGTTAGGTGGTTGGTTGCTACACTGTGGACTGGTGACGACCCTACAGAATCGCCATCGTGCTGACCATTCATACTTGTAGTCGTACTTGAAGTGCCAACAGCATTACTACTCCCACCACTTCCAGCACCACCATTTTTTCGGTGTCGATTCCAATCCATATAAAAAATACACGCACAATGGCGGTCAAAAATATACATATTGTATATCATTATTTCGTTATTCCAAGGCAATGTCCAAATATCCAAAGAGCCGTTTATCCAAAATTCGTCCTTTATATAAAATAAATGTTGGTATCATGTGACCAAAGATCTCGACCACGATAATACAGTTGCCACGGACAGTTGGGACAGTTGGGCGGACAAGTCCTAACTTATAATTCATATT